GGGCAAAGGACAAAAATTGCCCACAGCCCCAGCAACTGTCGGTTGCGCTGGCTTCGATGCGAGCACCGATCCCTCCCTCTGGTGCAAAGAGAGGGCGCGGCCTCGGGCAGCTGTTCCCCAGGGCTGGGCATCTCTTCAGTATAATTTTCTCAGTTGCCCCTCTGTCCTTTGACAGAGAAGCCCCTGAGCGCACTATGCCCAAAGACAGAGACGCAACTGAGAGATGATAAGACATCTTAGCCAAAAGGGCGAGACGCGGTTAAAATTCCACGCTGCCAAAAACGAGAAGGAAACGCCTATCATTACTAGAAAGAACAATAACATTTACTGGTCTTTTCTTGAGAAATTTATTTTCCTGGAAAATATTTATACATTTAAACTGACATTTATGGTCAATGAATACCGAATGTTTCCTGTATGGAAACGGTTACTCATTTCAAAATCTTTATCATTTGTAAATCCCTATCACGAATTCCGTGATCGTAGGGGCAGTAGAAGTGATTTTTCTTGGGCAATAGACTGACGGAGCCTAACCGTCTCCAGGCCGTTCTTTGAATTTAGAATGTTCTTCTTCCAGACCGGTTGCCATCCAAGGCTATAGAACCCAGTCAGTCCTGCTATTTAACCATAACTGGGGGAGAAGAAGAGGATTCATACCTTTTCCAAAAGTATTAGCATGTAAGTGAATGTAATAGATCCGACTGGAATTCGAACTCGACTCTCAGGTTCTTCAGTCCGAGCCGCTATCTATTACCCCCCCACACCTAATGATATATATATATTTTTAAAAGACCTATATCTATATCAATATATCAAATGGATGTCATACATGGTGTCCAATCATTCAGAAATGTCTAAACTGTCATGTGTTACAAACGTTTTCTCAGCTCAGTGATCAATAATGTCTTCAAGGTAGTGAATTCTTTAGGTCTTAAAGCAAACAAACCTTCATCAGATCTTATAGACTGGAGCTATACAATCACAAAGAACTTTATCAAATAACAAAAATCACATCGCTTGAAGACTTCAAACCGCAGCAATAAATTTCGAATTTTTCCAGCATGGAAAGAGCTAATTTTACCTTTACCATTAATTTTACCATTACCATTAATTTTTGCCATTGTCATTAATTTTACCGTTACCATCAATTTTACCATTGATTTTAACGTTACCATCAATTTTACATTTACCATTAATTTTTACCGTTACCATTAATTTTACCGTTACAATTTTAACATTACCGTTCATTTTTACCGTTACCATCGATTTTACCATTAATTCTAACGTTACCATCAATTTTATCTTTACCATTAAATTTACTATTGATTTTACTGTTACCATTAATTTTACTGTTACCATTAATTTTACCATTTGCTGCTTTGCGTGCAAACCAATATATGTGCCGCATCCTGCCTGGGCGGCGGCGGCGGCAAGTAGATATCGAATACAATAAGCGAGATTAACGATTACCATTGGACTGAGAAAATACGAAAGAAGTCATAATCCAGAACAGAGACAATAATCTTTACTTGCTGAGCCGTTAATTCCAGAAAGATTTTAGTCCCGATTTTATGCGCTTATTTATAGATGTAAAATTATATGATATTTATATATATATATATATGTGTGTGTGTGTGTGTGTGTGTGTGTGTGTGTGTGTGTGTGTGTGTGTGTGTGTGTGTGTGTGCAGATATATAGAAAATAGGAAAGAAGACGTTAGGTAAGTAATCCGGAGTTCTTTAGTATTTTTGTTTTTATTTTTAAAAAACAGTGCTCCATACAGAAGTAGCAAATGAACATGCTTATAAAGATGCGTAAATTTCAAGATTGGTTATTCCTAAATTTTCGCTTGAGGATGAAACAGGGCTTGATACTTTAATTCAATTTAATTTTAATAATTATATTGAGGTTTTCGGCTCTCGTTTTTGAAACATGAGAAATCTTAAGTAGCGAAGGAATCATATTTTTAAAAAAATAATAATTATATATATATATAAGTCCGAGAATTATTTTAAGACATCTTTATGGTTATACAGGTCGGTAAATGTTATTAATACTGTTTATTATAAAACAGAGCATTTACTTAAATACTTGTGTCTATAAAAATAATGTATAAACATAGAAATATCATAATATATATATATATATATATATATATATATATATATATATATATATATTGTGTGTGTGTGTGTGTGTGTGTATGAAATGAACTCTTAAGGTGTGCTATATTTATGGGATCAAGTGCTCAATAAGAGAGATAGAGCGTATGTAAATATAAAAGTGAACATTGAAATCAATACGTAGATGCTTGGATGCAATCGTCAGACCACCCTGACGATTGCCTGTCGCTTCTAAGTGTTGACTTCAATGTTCACTTATATATATATATATATATATATATATATATATATATATATATATATACACACGTCGAAACCAACGGGAGAGTCCATTATTATTATATATATATATACGTTAATTAGAAGAGAAGAAAAAACGGAACTGAAACCTTTGTATGAATTGCATCCAGATATTTGTATTTTAAATTAGTTTTAGTAGGTTTTAACGAAAGTTACTTATATTTTTAATAAACGTACTCTCGGTCCTAATAAGCGTGGAATGTAAATAAATAGGTTACGCACGAACACACACACAATAGCACACACACACACACATATATATATATATATGCGTGTGCGTTTGTGTGTATGGGTGTGTGTATGTAGACAAGAGTACGTAGACATTGTCATGTAGTAGCATATCGGGTTTTGTTTGCATACCACACATATCAGACAGAGCCAATCCCTGCAGACAAAACGCAATGTTTTGTTCTTATATATATATATATATATATATATATATATATACATTGTCACTTGGTGCAAGAATTGGCGTTATTTGCCCACAACTTACTAAGAAAAGATTAACTTCAACATTGCATACATATTGTACATATTGTACATATTGAAAAGATTAACTTCAACATTGCATACATAAAGTCAAACCTGAGCAAATTGGAGATAATAAAACGAACAGGTGTTGCGAGGTTGTTTTTTTTCTGGTCACAAAATCTTTCAAAGCTATGAAAAAAAAAAACTTCCAGCTTACATTCTCTATATATTATATATATATATATATATATATATATATATATATATATATATATATATATATGAAGATGAGATAAAGTGGAAAATTTATTAGCGACGCGTTTCACCAGAACGTCTGTTCTCTTTGGCTTCCTCAGTTTAGAAAGAAAGAAAGAAAGAAAGAAAGAAAGAAAGAAAGAAAGAAAGAAAGAGGGGAAGGCTTTAGGAACTCTAAGGATAAATAGCAGTCGTAAATTAATGATGTAATGAATATGCACACACCTGGGTTCCCCCTCACAGTAATATGATTGGCTGGTGTCAGTCATAAATACAGACTGATGTGGAGGTACAGGGAGAACGCCTATTGCCTACGCCTATTGCCTACCCCTACGACGAGGACCAGTCCATTACAGTTACCGAATGCTAAACAGTACAGCATACGGTTTCCAAATTTCTGGCGCGGTGAATTACTTCATTGTGGTCTTTTTCTCACAGACGGTGCCCAACTGACCCTACTATACTGTGCTGAACGTCAAAATCAAAAACAAAGAACGCGCATGCGCAAAATTAGAAATATAAAATGGCGACAATTTACCCATTGTACTCTCTCTCTTTCTCTCTTTCACTCTCTCTCTCTCTATATATGAAGAAATATAGTTTTAAAGTGTGTTATATTTACGGGATAAAGTGATCAATATCAGAGTTAGAGCGTATGTAAATATAAATATAAAAGTGAACATTGAAGTCAACACTCAGAGGCAACAGGCTGTTTCAGGCTAGACGCAATCGTCAGACCTGACGATTGCGTCAAGTATGAAACAGCCTGTCCCCCTCTATGTGTTGACTTCAGTGTTCACTTATATATATATATATTAAAAGAGCATAAGGGAAATTTATTCCTTTAAAAATTGATTCATTTTAATTGTCTGAAGAAAGTCAAGAAACCGGAAACATGTGTAGGAAAAATATGAAGAATAAAAAATAATATATACACTAAAACAAATCTATAACATTTTCCCTATATATATATATATATATATATATATATATATATATATAAGACATTTTTTATGTTTAGAAGTTCTTTTTATGGATACAAATATTTAAGTAAATGCTCTGTTTATAATAAACAGTATTAACGACATTTACAGCCTGAATGTCCGAAAAAATTTTCAAAGAAAATATGCGTCCTCCGAAAATTTGTCGGACATTCAGGCCGCTAAATGTCGTTAATACTGTTTATTATAAACAGAGCATTTACTTAAATATTTGTATCTATAAAAAGAACGTATAAACATAAAAAAAAACTGTCTTAAAATAATTTTCGGACTTTGTCCATTTCATAATGTGTGACGTCATTTATATATATATATATATATATATATATATATATATATATATAAACGTGCATGTAGGAGTGGTTGAATTTGTGACAGAGACATATGAAAACTTCTGATAAATGAACATTCGAGGTTGAGTAACGAGAAAATTCAGAATGGAACGGCAGAATGACAAAGTTGAAAATAAAGAAACAAAACTTGTTACAAAGCAGAGCTGGTTTGCGAATTCCTTTTAAGATGGCTGAAATGATTAATGAAGAAAAATGATGCATGTGGCATCGATGACAAAAGCCAACATGGATTTTACCGATTCTGTTGCATAGATTTGATCTAATGCAAACCATCTTACCCGCTCGGGGAATTATAAAGTTTCGTTTTCCTCAAATAGCGAATTCTATAAAATTGCTGTAGATGCGTAAATCGAGGTGGAAACCAAAAAGAATAGTCACGTTTATAACAATTAGTAACACTATTTTGTATAATAACACGTATAAACTGTAAACGACTTCTCTATCCTATGAAACTGTCAGCTTTCACAGATAGTGTGAACTGCCCAGATAACACTACAATGATATTGCTACAACATTACTGCAAAGTTATTTCTTCTTCTTCTCCTTCTTCTTTTTTCTTCTTTCTTCTTTTTCTGGTCCTTTTTTGTCTCTTTTTATTCTTTTTTCTTCTTGTTCTTCTTGTTCTTCTTTTTCTTTTTCTTCTTCTTTTTCTCCTTTTTCTTCTTTTTTCTTCTTTTCTTCTTCTTTTCTACTTCTTTTTTGTTATCTTCTTTTTCTTTTTCTTCTTTTTCTTGTCCTTCTTGTTCTTTTTTCTTCTTATCCTTTTTCTTCTACTTTTTCTTCTTCTTCTTCTTTCTTCTTTTTCTTCTTGTTCTTGTTCTTCTCCTTTTTCTTCTTTTTCTTATTGTTCTTGTTGTTGTTGTTCTTTTTGTTTTCTTCTTTTTCTTCTTTTTTCTTCTTTTTCTTCTTCTTCTCCTTTTCCTTCTTTTTTCTTCTACCTTTTTCTTCTCCTTTTCTTGTTATTGTTGTATTTCTTCTTCTTCTTCTTCTTCTTCTTCTTCTTCTTCTTCTTCTTCTTCTTCTTCTATGTGCCGTGTTCATTTATGACGTGTATGATCATGGCTCTCCACAATTCCCAGTCCTTTGTTGCCCTTAGTAAAATTTGTCGTTTTGTTATATCTCCTAATTCCTATTCTGCTAACAGTTTACACAAGCTTGTTAGGTAGATTTCAGATGTCTTCCTTTTCCCTCTTAACATCTCCTTTGAGTGTTGAATTTTCCAAGCCCACTTTCCTCATTATTTGCCCTGGAAATTTCAATTTTTTTATTCTAAGTATAAACGTCTATTTTGTTTCCATTTTTAGAAAACTTCGTCGCTGCCTCTATGTTCGGTCTATGGTATTCTTGCAATATTCTGTATAACCATCTTTTTGTTGTCACAAATCTCTTCTTCATCTGCGATGAGATGGTCCAGCATTCACTGTCATATTGTAAGCCTGATATCAAATTTTTTGATTTTATCTCTGCAACGTTACCTCATAACAATGCAAATAGGTTGACATGAAACGTTACATTAACAGAAAATGAGTAAAAAACAGGAAGATATAAGAATAGGAATTTATTAGCTATATTAGTGATTCCTTATTGTAAAACTTTTGAAAATTCTTCAGACCTTCTATATATATTGTTAAGTAAGAAAAAGCGGTATGTTAGTTAACCAGTGTGGAAACTTTTAGGCTACAGCATTTCGTATTGTCAACATAATGTAGTGATAAAGTTGGGAAGGAGCAGTCAGTTGTGGTCAGTAACATACTGATCGAAACGTTACAGTAACATGGCCACAATAAAATACAATGCTTCTGAAACGTCACCACAACATCAGATATCTTCCAATATAATATACAATGCTTCTGAAACGTAGCCTGACCTTACATATCCTCCAAATAAAATACAATGCTTCTGAAACGTCGCCACAACCTCAGATATCTTCCAATATAATATACAATGCTTCTGAAACGTAGCCTGACCTTACATATCCTCTAAGTAAAATACAATGCTTCTGAAACGTCGCCACAACCTCAGATATCTTCCAATATAATATACAATGCTTCTGAAACGTAGCCTGACCTTACATATCCTCTAAGTAAAATACAATGCTTCTGAAACGTCGCCACAACCTCAGATATCTTCCAATATAATATACAATGCTTCTGAAACGGAGCCTGACCTTACATATCCTTCAAATAAAATACAATGCTTCTGAAACTTCGCCACAACCTCAGATATTCGACTTATAAAATACAAAGCAACTGAAACGTCGCCAGAACCTCACATATCATCCTAATAAATTACAACCCGTCTGCAAATTTGCCACAACGTCACATATCCTCCCCCAAAAAAACAACACGTTTGCATCGTCGCTACAACGTGACATATCCTCCATTAAAATACAACCTGTCTGCTACGTCGCAACAGCGTCATATATCCTCTGAATAAAATACAATCATTTTGCTACGTTGCCACAACGTCACATATCTTCCAATGAAATATATCCTATCTGCAACGGTCACCGCAACGTCACATATCCTTCAATGAAATATATATATATATATATATATATATATATATATATATATGCTTGATAAAATATAGTTTAAGTTACGCTATATTGATGGGTAATATTGCTTAATATCTGTAGTAATATGTCGTGGAGCGCCTGAAATCAACACCAAGTGGCGACAATCGCTTTAATGTTTGAAAGTAATGAAGGCCTCACTCTTAACTTCAATGCCCACACTTATATATAAATACACACTGCGTGCCAAATTATTATCGAGATAACTTTTTCTAATATTTCAAAAACCGTTCAATCAATTCACACAAAATTTTCACACAATGTTGGCAACACTGACCTGCGCAATCACTGCGCCATTTTTTACATTGCTGCTGATTAATGTAAACAAACTGTGCTGATTGCAAATATGGCGCCAGTTTGTTTACATTGAAAATTTTGTGTGAATTGATTATACGGTTTTTCGAAAAAAAAAAATCTCGATAATAATTTGGCACGCAGTGTATATAGCCATGAACCTAAGCGTGTCCGAAGGAGACAGATTCTTGCAAGTGTCCCAGTGACCAGTGGAAACGACAACTAGCTCTGCGCAGACCCCACATGATAACCACATTGATGTACACCAAGTTCACGTGGTGGGTTTCGTGGATTATGAATATATTATCATGTTGCATGTGCTAGTGGTGTTATGGTTAGTGGCTCTGAACGAAAAATCTGCAAACCGAGTTCGAATTCTAGTCGAGTTTGTTACATTCATTTTCGCGTAAATGCACTTGTGAGAGACACGAATCCCTCTCTTCACTCCTCTCAAGGCCATGGTTTTAATAGGCATGATAGGCTCTTTAACCTTTTAGTCGGCAAGAGGTCTAGGAAAATGAAAATTCTGAATTCACAAGCTGAGAAGGTCTGATATGGTCAATTTGTTGGACAGTATATTTATTTTTACGAAATCTTATTAAATAAAAAAATCGCGCCTCTTTGGCAAGAATCGAACCTGCATCCCTCAGGGCAAAGTGAACCACCACTCGGTGCGGCATGCCTTACCGCTTGGGCACGAAGGTACAGGCATTTAGGTGAAACCAATTTCATGATTTCAAGCGAAATTTCTCCCGTCATAGATCTCAGGAAGTTTTTTTTCGTAGCTTCACATGGTTCCATATCCAAACGTAATCAAAGACAATTCTTAGAATGGATTTTTATTAATCCGACGGATTTGTATCACTTGATACATTTTTTAGCCGATGCTCATATTTGCCAATAATATCTAATAATAATAATAGTTATCATTATTATATTCGTTTTTTAATTTATTTTTTCAGCCTACAGTACCTACCTACCCATATATATATATATATATATATATATATATATATATATATATATATATAAATTTTCAGAATGACAATTGGAAAAAATCTTACATTTTTACCGACGCTTTTCATCTTCCGACTTTATCAAGGCAAACAATGAAAGCGAAATGTTTTTTGTTGTCATATTTAAATTAAATCCAAAATGGAAAAAAAAGAAAAAAAGACGCTCCTGCGTAAGCCTCTTTCTGGCTAATGTTAACTTACTTTATGCTAAGAGTTTTTTTGTTTTTTTATCGACAATATAGTAAAATTTCCCAGAACTTTTCTGTGGATAAGACAAATTGGTATAAGGATCACAATTGGAAAAAAAAATCTTTTTTGCCGACACGTTTTCGTCTTGGCCTGACATGCTATATCGATTACCTACAGCGGAAGCATCTGCTTAGAAAAGTCCAAATTACTGCTTTTAATCAACAAATTTTCCACGATCTTTCTCGAAACGGATACAATGAAAGCGAAATTTTAAAATTTTAAAATTTTGGATTGATTGTAACTAGGACAACACCAACGATTCCCCAACACAAGGCTCGCAGACCATTATTGGAATTTAAAGAAAAATACAATAAGAATTCTAATATAAAACGGAGGAATTCTACGACGAGTACGAACAAAAAAGTACCTGGTGCCTCTTGCAATTTATGTCAAGAAGAGAAACTAACCATCGAAACTCATATTGATAACTGAATTGCTTAACAAAAGAAATAATGGCAAAATGCAGACACTTGAGAAAGTTTATGTTAGAGAATTATGAACCAGGATGAGCCAGGCAGATTATAATAATTTTCTTTCCTCATACTCTTCCTCCTCCTAAGTAGTGACTCTCTCTCCCCCCTCTCTCTCTCTCTCTCTCTCTCTATATATATATATATATATATATATATATGTCAACACCGAATACGCTGAACGTACTACCTGATGATGATACCTATTATAGTTGAAACCACGGTTTCATTTTTTAGCGCCTTAGTTTTTATGGATATAATTCGCTTTACAAGTTTTTTATCTCCTTTATAATTTTGTAACACATTCTTTTGATAGTGTTACTAAATTTTGATTTAATTATATATATGTATATAACCCCATTCCCCACCCACACAAGACAGACATGCTTGCAGAGGTTTTGAGGTCTTACACTTATACGCACACTCATACTAATATACACACACACATCATACACACTCCCAAAGAACTAAAAGATAACATGCACTTGACACCCACATCCCATTCCCTGCAACCAATAAAACAGTCAGAAAAGACCAAGTAGGTAATTCAAGTCAGGGATCTCCAATCCTCTATCTTAGAAACAATTTGTAAGAGGCCGTTTGACCAACGCAAGGACTGAACAAAATTAACGATAAAAAACAAACGGAAAATGCAGACAAAGTTCGCTTTCTTCAGAAACAGTCATTCGCTACTGTAGTTCACTGCTACTAACAAGCAGAGTTTTTTTTTTCTCCTGATGATAACCATGCTGGCCGAAACTAGTCGATTCCCTGACCTGTATACATAAAAAGTCGCACAAAAAACACAGCACACATGGCCTGACGATAGCATTTAGCATGAAAGAAACTCTCGTCCAAAGGTTGTTTAATGTATGCGCATTAATAGATGGGTAGACGTCTTTTATGTCTAATTGTATGAAGGAATATTTTTCTTTATCACTAATGTTATTAAATCAATTGATTGTTGCTTTTATATTTTCCCATTGGTTTATGTCTAGCATGTTTCTTTGTTTAGAGCGTATTTTTGCTAATATTTGTTTGCTCCTCCCCCCCAATGTTGCTTTTTCTGGGGTTGGATAATTTGCATGTTGGTTTCGTCGTGAAGTTGTCCTTATGGTCTTTTAATTTAATAAATGGTTCAACTAGTTGTTTTATTCTAATTTTAGTTTAGTAGCAATGCTTTTAGTTCCTTTGTTTCTATCACATTATTACTGGTTTAGTAAAACTTAGTGACTTCTTTGTTGACTAGTTTATTGTAATTGTTAGTTTCCAATTTATAGATTATCCTGGATTTATCACCTTTTATAAATAATTTTTTTGAATTGTTGATTATTTTTTTTAAATTATTCTATTAATTTTTTTATTATTTTATTATTATTTTTATTATTTTATTATTTTTATTTATTTTTTGTTGATCATTCTTTTTATATTTTTTATTAAATTATT